TTATTTACGCCTTCACACAATTATTAGGGTCAATTATGGAATTATCTCATTAATCTCATAATTAATTAATTAAATTCCTAAATTAACGGTGCAAGTTCTTACATTCACCCCACCTTTTAAGAATTTTGCCCTCAAAATTAGAAACATACTTGTCCCGAAACTCGGGGTACTGCCGGAGAAGCTCGTCCTCTCGCTCCCGCGTACACTCCTCAAGAGTTCTTTCCGTCCATTGCACTTTGACCATCGGAATGATCTTACTCATCAGCTTCTTCTCGCCACGATCGAGAATCTTGAGTGGTCCGACAAGAGTTTTCAAGTTTTCCTAAACTTCCACATCATCAGGTTGCACCACGTGCGAAGGATCTACTATGTATTTCCGAGGATGACACACGTGAAACACGTCGTGGATGTTGGCCAAGTTCGGAGGCAAGGCAAGCCGGTAGGCAACATGTCCTACTCCACCAAGGATCTGGTATGACCCAATGAATCGTGGGCTCAGCTTCCGCACTCCGAGGGCCCGACCAACACCGGTGACAGTGTGGGAAGTTCGTTCTTTTCTTGGATATGCAGGATTTTACAGGACTTATTCAGGATTTCAGCAAGATTGTCCTACCTATGTCCAACCTTTTGCAGAAAGACATAGAGTTCTTGTTGGATGATGCGTGCAAGGCTGCCTTTGATCATCTTAAGTGTTGCCTAACTGCCGCTCCAGTCATCCAAGCACCATATTGGTCTCTTCTTTTTGAGTTGATATGCGACGCTTCCAACTATGTTGTGGGTGCTTTTCTTGCTCAACGTGTCAACAAAGCTCCCCATGCCATTTCCTATGCATCATAGACTTTGGATTCTGCTCAGTGCAACTACACCACTACTGAAATGGAATTTTTGGCTATAGTTTTTGCACTTGATAAGTTTAGATAATATCTTTTGGATACTAAAGTTATCATCTTTTCTGACAATGCTACTTTAAAGTTCCTTTAAAAGAAAGCAGATGCCAAGCCTCGGCTTATCCGGTGGATGTTGCTGCTCCAGGAGTTTGACATTGAGATTAAGGATATAAGTGGTGCAGAAAATCAGGTAGCTGATCACTTGAACCGCATCACTCATCAGCCCTCTGATTCCTTTCCCATTCATGATGATTTTGCTGATGAGCAACTTTTACAGTTGTAAGGTAAGTTTCCTTGGTATGCTGATATAGTTTATTACTTGGTTGCTGGTGTTTTACCTTCTGATTCCACTAAGGCTTAATCCCTGAAATTGAAAAATGAGTCAAAATATTATGTTTGGGATGACCCTTATTTGTGGAGATTTTGTAGTGACGAAGTAGTTAGGCGATGTATGCCTGATATGGAGTTTCAGTATGTCCTGCAATTTTGTCTTGCATCTGCTTGTGGTGGTCATTTTGGACCCCAAAGAACTACTAGGAAGGTGTTAGACTCTGGTTTATTTTGGCCTTCCTTGTTCCATGATGCTTATGTGTTCTGTAAAACATGTGATAATTGTCAGAGGGCAGGTAGTATTTCCCGTAGGCATGAGATGCCCCAGCAACCTATACTCTTCTGTGAGATTTTTGATGTTTGGGGTATTAACTTCATGGGTCTTTTTCCTTTTTCTTTTAGTTTTATATACATATTGCTAGTTGTGGATTATGAATCTAAATGGGTTGAGGCAAAAGCCACCCGTACTGATGATTCTGTTGTGATTGTAGAGTTTGTTCGGTCTCACATTTTATGCAGGTTTGGCATTCCTATAGCCATTATTAGTGACCAGGGCTCTCACTTTTACAACCGGAGCATGACAATTCTACTGCTGAAGTATGGAGTTATTCATAAAGTTGCAACAACCTATCATCCACAGACTAATGGCTAAGCTGAAGTCTCAAACAGAGAGATCAAGCAAGTTCTTCGGAAGACTGTTAACTCTAACCGGAAGTATTGAAGCAAGAGACTGGATGATGCTTTGTGGGCATATATGACTGCATACAAGACTCCAATTGGGATGCCTCCTTATCGGCTTGTCTTTGGTAAGGCATGTCATCTTTCGGTGGAGTTGGAACATCAGGGCTATTGGGCTGTCAAGTAGTGTAACATGGATTTAATGTAGTCAGGGATGGAAATCAAGCTTCAACTGCGAGAGCTTGAGGAGCTTAGATTGGATGCTTATGAGAGTTCACATCTATACAAAGAAAAGACAAAAGCATTCCATGGTAAGAAGATTCTGAGGAAATAATTTGTTGCGGGCCAGAAAGTTCTCTTGTTTAATTCTCGTCTAAAGTTCATGCCTGGTAAGCTTAGATCCAGATGGGATGGCCCCCTTGTTATTACTAATGTGTTTCCTTATGGTGCAGTTGAAATATGTGATAAGCAGACAGACAAGTCTTTTACTGTGAATGAGCATCGTCTGAAACCTCTCTACGAGGGACCACAGCAACCTATAGATATTCAGATGGAAGCAGAAATCAGAATGATCGATGCTATTTATCCTCCCTAATGAAGACAGAGAGTTCTTTCCCTATTTTTTTTCAGTTTATTTGAATTTTTAATTTTAGTTCTTAGTCAATAAATAGATTATTCTGTTTTTCTAATACTTGTTAAGTTATACTTAGTTTGAATTGAATTTAATACTTGTGATAGATCACTCTGGTTAGGCTGAGTTCTTAATTCTTGGATTACTTTACTTGGTAATTGATTTTGTGATGCTGATATGTGATTGGTATATCCTTTGGTGAGAATTCGGGCCTACATGAATGGATTTTATCATCTGCTATTCTTTCTTTCTTGTGTGCTTATGCTTTTGATTGTTATTCTCTAGAACTTGCTCTTGTTCTTTTTGAAATTATATTTTTCATTTGCATGCATAGATATGATTTAGGCCTTCTTTCTTTTTTCCACTTTAGCCAGATAGCCATCTCTTGCATTATATTCCCTTTGGTTAGCCCCTTTGTGCCTTATATCCTTTTTTTCTTAGCCACATCACTAGCTCAAGCGAAAAATCAATTAATTCCACACCCTGGAAATTTATTGAGTATTTGTTTCACTATAGTTTTATGTTTAAGTGTCGGGATTTGCTCGAGACGTGCAATACTTTAAGTGTGGGGGAGGAGCATTCATTTAATATGTTACTTTTACTATAAAAAAATTTGAAAATGAAAAAAACAAAACAAAAAATGATTTTTTTTAGAGAAAATACCCTTTTTAGTCCCTAACAAAAAATACGATCCCCACTTTAGTCCCTTACAAAAATAAATTAGTCAGTTAGTCCCTAACAAATTCAAAGTGGACCCATTTAGTTGAAATCGTGGTCCCTCACAAATTCAAAAAAGACCCATATTAGTCCCTCAAAAGGACTAAAATGGGTCCACCTTGAATTTGTTAGGGACTAACTGACTAATTTATTTTTGTAAGGGACTAAAGTGAGGACCGTGTTTTTTGTTAGGGATCAAAAAGGGTCTTTACTCTTTTTTTTAAAAGTGAAAAAGAAAAAGAAAATTTTAGCTCTTTGTGTTGTGTTTTTCTACTTTTATTTCAGTTATGTTTCATTAGTATAATTTTTATTTAGCTACTGCTCTTTTAAATTTCTGGGTGTTTAACCTCTCTTTTCCATACTCATCCTTACCTTCACCCTAGCCCCATTTTAACCTTTAATAAAGTCCTCTTGATTTATGCATGCATTTGTTTTTAGTATTGGAGAAATAGAACTTGAGCAAGCTTATGGTAGGACAATTTTTCCGAGTATAATTAGAGTGATACACTTATTTACCCATACCCTTGAGAGATTGATTGAGAGCATCTGAGAGACCATTATGCATTATCAACTATATCATTTGAAATTACCAGGTTCTGTAAATTTGAGATGAAGGATTTTTTGTTTTTCCTGGTTGATCTGTTGAAGTTTTGTGATCTATATTCAAACTCTGTATTCTTGACAATTTTTAAAAAAGATAGGTTAATCTTTTAGTTTTTACTTTTGTTTATTTTTAGTTTTGATTTTGCTCAGGAGTGCAAAAAGATAAGTGTCGGGAAATTTGATAATGAATATCTTATTGCACTTATTTATTACTCTTGATTAGTATTTTAGGAGTATTTGAAAAGAAAATAATGGTCTTTTGGGTTAAATTAGATTTCTGGTTGTTTATTGGGTTTAATTTATTTTCGTCAATTTCTAACTTTATGTTTCTTTAGTATTTTGATCGTATCTCACTCCACATGTATCCGATTGACTCTGTTCTTATTGCGTTTTAAAGATAACTCAGAGGGCTACAAATTCTATGAAGACAAGAAAGACCAATTGGGATAAGAATATGGTCTAAATTAGAGCCCAAGTCAGAAACAAGTTGCTGGAATTTTATTGATTTAAATTTGTAATTAGAACCCAATTCTGTTGAGGCCGAAAGCCATTGTTTTAGTTCTGATTTTGTTTATTTTATTATTGTGAGCCAAAATTAGTTGAACCCTAACCCGATTGTGATTGGGTTAAAGGGATTCGTTTAGGAAACTTGTCATCAGTCTTCATTAGAAAGTTTGTATGATAGACAAATTGTCTCTGGAGATTAATCTACAATTTTTGTTCTTCTTCTTCATCTTTTCTTTATCTTCTTAATTTTTAAGTATGTTTATCTTAATCAGAGGCTCTGCTGTTTAGGTCTTTGATTTTAAAATAAAGTTGTTGAAGGATTGCGTGATCCATTCGTAGGTAGTGAGATTTAAGGAAATGAGTGGTGCGCAGCTGAATGATATGACATTTACGCCTGACCATTGGATTTCATATGGTTTATAGTGATTGGCTTCCTCTCCCTCAATTTCTTTCACCCAAAAGTTCCCCATATAGATTTATAAAGTGGAAATGCTATTTATGATGCTAGTGGCTCACACAGGCAACACAGGCAACACAACCATACTGGGAACAATTAGGATCCTCTTTAGCTTGATTATTTAAAATTTTAATAATTCTTCACTAGTTTTTTTTTTTTTGATATAAATGGAGGGCCTAGCCCAGAAAACTTACAAAGACAACTGTTTCAGATCAATAGACATATGATCAACCAACAAATTAAAACAAAAAAGGTCCCAAAAAGGAACTGTACTCACAGGGGGAGAGGAAAAAATCCTCAACTCTCCACCCTTGTAGCTCAAGCCTAACTTAGCTAATGAGTCAGCAACCTCATTCTCTTCTCTAGGGATAAAATCCACACGTACCTGGTCAAAACCCGCAGCTGTGGTTTTAATCAAATCAATTAAACTAGCCAACCCACATGCACCAGTATCAGTCTCAAGACATAGGATGGCTTCCTTACTATCACAGTCAATCCAAATTCTGGTTATAGCTAAACTTGCAGCCAGCTTAAGACCATGCAGAATGCCTCTGAGTTCAGCTTCCAATGGAGAGCAAGGACCTATATAATATGAGAAGCCACTAATCCAGCTACCTTTCGATGAACAAACCACTCCACCACAAGCTCCACTGTTGTCAGATTGCTGGACAGCTCCATCAACAAAGAGCATAGTATCTATGGGAGCTACACCCAGGCACGCCTTCCTAATTAGAACAGCAATTTCAGCACCTGGAGCAAATGGGTTAGCATTTCCATTTCTCTTCACACCTGTCAGAAATTGTAAGATTTTTTTGATTGGATCTTGAGGTCTAGCAAAATCAGAATCATGTATAATGGGATTTCTCCATTGCCACAGATACCAGCAGGTTACAAAATAATTTTCCTTCCAAGATTTCCACAGCTGTGACTTAAAAGGCTTAAAGAGATTTACTCTAATCCACTCCCTTCCATTCGTAGATAAGAATGCAACAGGAATAGAACCTCCAAACCACCTTCCCCAAATGTTCTTGGCCACTGTACAGTCTCTGAGAATGTTAATTAATATTTCTTGCTCCAGCCCACAAGAAGGACAACCACTCTCCCCTCCACCCCAATGGCATGTTATGCTCCTCACAGGGAGTTTGTTAAGGCAAGCTAACCACAAAAAAACTGCAATTCTAAATGGGCCCTCCACTTCCAAATAGCTGCCCATATAGAATCCTTTACAGGCTGAGACCTTAGTAAATAATTGTATGCATTTTTAACAATTGATTTCTCTGGATTAATCACTTTCCAGTTAAGCCAATCACCTAGATTTCCAGGCTTAGGGGGAGGAATATTGCTCAATCTGATGCAAGATGCAGCATCCAAGAATTGATTTAAATTCTCCCAGTTCCAATCATCAGTATTGGGATCCACCAAATCCCAAACATTGTATTCCAGGTCAGACATAGGAGGTTTAAAGGAAGCCAAATCAAAGAGAGGATTCTGCCAACCACCCCATCTATCTAACCAGAAGTTCACTGACTTGCCATCCATTACCACCCACTCTGAGTGATGAGAAATCTTAGAGTGAGCTAGACATATGTTTTTCCACAAAGATGAATCACAGGGCTTAGCATTTAGGCTTTGGTAAGGATCATGATTTCTTCCATACTTTCCAATTAGCACCCTCACCCAAAGGCTATCTTGACCGGATATAAGATTCCAAGCTAACTTCTGGATAAAAGCCTCATTCTGAATCCTGAGATCTATAATACCAAGACCACTACACTCCTTAGGTTGACACATGATCTCCCAGCTCACATAATGGGCCCTTCTTTTGGTCTCTGTATCTCCCTAAATAAAATTCCTTTGTAGCCTCTCAATATCCTGGAATACATGAAAAGAAATAATATTATTTTGCATATGATAACTAGGAATAGCAGAGATTACACTTTTTGCAAGAGTGATTCTGCCTGCCAGAGATAGGCATCTAGATTTCCATCCTTGAAGTTTATTCTGAATCCTGGAGATAACCTCAGCATAATGATCCTTTTTTATTCTTACATGTCTCATCATAGACCCCAAATATCTCCCCAAATTTTCAACCTTCTTGAAGCCACTGGCATCAGTAATAGCTCTTCTAACATCCTGAGGGGTATTCTTCGAGTAATAAATGCAGGATTTTTCTATGCTTACACTCTGACCAGACATCCTTGAGAATTTCTCCAAGCACTGAGTGATGCAATTGAGCTGACTCAAAGAAGCTTCAGCAAAAATGATAATGTCATCAGCAAACATAATATGAGACAAAAGGGGACCAGACTTACCCACCTTAATTGGCCTCCAATTACCAATCTCCACTTCATCCCAGATTAGGTGAGACAACTTTTACATACAAAGGACAAATAAATAAGGGGATAGAGGGTCCCCTTGTCTAATTCCCCTTTGAGAGTGAAAACTAGGAGTTCTAGCCCCATTCCAGAGAACTTCAAGGACCGGACTAGAGACACATCCCATGATAGCTTCAACTAAATCACCAGGGAACTTCAAGTCTTCTAAAACAGATCTGATGAAACTCCAACTGAGCTTGTCATAAGCTTTTTCCAGATCAATTTTAATAGATAAGAAGCTCTTCTTGCCCTTCATTCTATGCATAGAATGTATGAGTTCCTGAACAATTATAATATTGTCCTGGATATTCCTTTTGGGTACAAAACTGGCTTGGTTGGGAGAAATAATCTCCATAAGAAGAGGCTTAATCCTATTAGCCAGAATCTTGCTGAGGCCTTTGTAGATAGTGTTGCATAAAGCTATGGTCCTGGATTGCTTCATCAAACAAGGTCTCTTCACTTTGGGGATCAGCACAATAAGAGTGTGATTAATATTACCAATTTGACTTGGATTCTGCATGAAGAACTGCATACTGCTGAAAACTTGCTCCTGGAGGATCTCCCAATTCCTTTGAAAGAACAAGGCTGGATACCCATTTACACCAGGTGCTTTTAAAGCAGGCATTTGGAAAAAAGCTCTCTTTACCTCCTCAACCGAGAGCTTCATAGAAAGATTTCCATGTTGTTCCCCTTGTAAAACAGGCCATGTATTACTAGTGTGGAACCAAACTATTTCTTCAGACTGTTTTGAAAAAAGGTTCTGGAAAAAGCTTCTAGCTAACTGAATAAGCTTCTCCTCATCAGAAATCCACTGCCCCAAACCATCCTAGAGCTTCAGGACCTTATTTTTCTTCCTTCTAACAACAGTACTAGTATGGTAATACCTTGTATTCCTGTCACCATCTATGATCCAATCACCCCTAGACTTCTGGAACCAAATCTGTTCCTCCTGATCAAGGATGTCAGCTAACTCTCTATTCAAAACCGCTTCCAGCTTCTCCAAGTGCTGGCTATTAGAGGAGCTCATCTGATTTTGGATACCCTCCAATCTAGCAAAAACCCTGTTCTTTCTGTGATGAATGAACCAGAATACATTTCTGTTCCACTCCTTCAACAATGGCACAAAGATCTCCAGATTACACAGCAGCCCAACCCTGGGATTCCAAATTTTCTTTCAGAAAATCCTTGAACCTGACATCGTACTGCCAAGTAGCCAGAAATCTGAAGGGTCTTTCCTGTTAGTATTTGGGTGTCCTAGAGACAATCTTATGATTAAATAAGGACATAGATGTAGACCTTTTTAATATTGTCACAAATAAATAAAAGCACTCTTTATCTTGTTTCATAATTCTGTCTCGATATTAATGTTAATATATTATGAATAACTTGATAAACCCCGTGGAATAAAATAGGTATCTCTTGAGTATCTGTGATGAGATCACAATCATGAGGATTCAAGAATACCGGATGTTTATTCCTAATTTTATGTTCCTAGTCTAGAGATACTGAGAATGGGGTCAGTAATCTCGGGTAAGACTAGCACGACTTATCTACTTGTATATGGATACAAGGTATAGACCTCATGTGCTACAGATATGGAGATGTCTTAGCTAAAGTCGTGGGTGGACCTATAAGGGTATAGCTCGCACTGAACGGACCCTCAAAGAGACTCTATGAGGAAATCTCACAGATAGTATCATTAGACTAGTCTCTATGTATTTGGGTATGTCTTTCCTTAGACCAGAAGTTATCACTTAGACTGCGTTCTAGAAGGCATGCCTTGATTGTATACCTCGTCTGCTTGAAACATGGAGACTCATAGGTATGCTCTTGGGCTTGTCCTAATAGGACACAGGGCTAGGGTAATAAGCTGAAGGAATTCGTCAAATCTCTGTGAGAGATTAGGTTATCCTTAAACCGGAGAAATTGGGATGACATTTACAGTGACTCGGGAATCTATGCATAGTAAAAGAGATCATAAGATGATCTGCCTTTAGAGTCAGTAAATTGAAGACTCCCTATTTCATAAAAAGCTAACCCTAAACTGCAAGGTATGATACGTTTCTTTACCCTAGGTTTTATGGGAAGGTAACCGTGACGAAGGGACAAACATACGGCAACCAAATATGTGCAATAGGATTATCAAGTCACTAATCTAACTAGTTCTGGGGCAACAAAGCATTGCTAGTGCTCTGTGTTGTCATTAGATGGGTTGTGGGCTTATTGGGCCCAAACCCATTTATGTCAGTGGCTATGTTGGACCTAATGGGTCACACACTAACACCTAATTGTCTAGATGCTCTAGCATTAATGGTATTGGGCCTAACAATTGTTATTAGCCCAGGAAGTAGTTTGGAACTCCACAGATAGGGTGGAGGGCACATGGATCTAAGTAATGGGCTTGGATAGTCCAAGACATTACTAATTAATTTAATTAGTTAAATTAATTATCAAATGTTTAAATTTTGAATTTTGAATTTGAAATTTGAATTTTGAATTTTGAATTTGAAATTTGAAATTTGAATTTTGAATTTTGAATTTTGAATTTTGAAATTTGAATTTTGAATTTGAATTTTGAAATTTGAAATTTGAAATTTGAATTTGAATTTGAATTTAAAATTTAAGTGTTTGAAAGGTTTGAATTCAAATGTTTGAAATTTGAATTTGAATTGGCTATGAAAAGTTGTTTCATAACAAAAGGATAAGATAAGATCTTGTTGGAACATATCAAGAGGAAATCTTTTGGACATAATCTAAGAAGATTTGGGGTGCTGATTTGGCTGTTGGTTAGTCATCAGAATCAGCTCCAAAAGATACGATCTGTTGGGAGAATATTTGAGTGATTTGATTCAAGTTTGAAAGCAACTACTCAAATGTATCTGGTCATTATTTAGGCTATATGGGGCGCACCATATAACTGATTATATGATGATTTATGATCAGATATTTGATTAGGTTTTGAACCTAATATATCATAAAGATATGATAGGATGTGGTTGGCAAGATTTGATGAGATTTGATTTGCAACAAATCCTATTCTCTCTCTCTCTTTGATGGAGCGCCCTTTTGGAAGGGATTTTTATTGATTAAAAATCTGATTTGTTTTCAAAAATAGGCTCCTCTTGTGCGCCTCTTTATATATGTTCCTTCTAGGGTTTTTAGAAAACCAACCAAGCCATTCTCTTCTCCTCTCCTGCGCTACTTTTGTGAAGTTTTCACATTGAAAGCTTCACTCTTTCAAACACTTTTACCTAGCCTTTCTCTTCACACAGTGTGCGCTTAGCAAGCCTCATTGTAGTGATCACTTGGCGGTTTCACAAGAAGGAGTTCTTGCACCTAGACGCAGTGGGTGGTGTGGATCAACGTTAGAGGGTCTGAACCCTTCAGACCTACCTTGATCATCACGAGTTTTCACGAACAAGGTAACATCATGCTTTCCTAAAGCATGATCTTGAATGCATGTGTGTTCCGCAATGAAAAAGTTTTGTTTTTCCCTCCAGCATGCATCGGCCTTCAAGGCTATTTCCAACTTTCAAGTGGTATCAGAGCCCGGTTGCTTTACCATAGACGGGGTGATGGTACCTTGTTTGTGATCATATTTTTCACGGTTAAAATTTATTTAAAAGTTAAAGATTCAATTTTTACGTATGGATTTTAATTTACAATACTTTAAACGGTTAAAGTTTTCGTTTTTATGAACATGTTATTTCGAATGCTATGTTCATGAATCCATATGTATACATGGTTGTTTTTACTTTGTGAAAGTTTTAAAAAGGAAACACATTTTTGAAAGGTGTAGTTCGACCAATAAAGGTGCTTTGAACACCTTGATTGTTTTCTTATTTTTCTTCATGAATTGTTTCAGAAACATAGCATGAAATTTTTTGAAAATTTGAATCATATACTCTTGTATATGGTTCGGCCATATTGAGATTTATGGCTACATGCATGGTTTAATTTTATGTTCTTTGAGAAAGAATCAATAAAATTTGAATTAAATAAATTGTTGTTTAATTCGGTCAATTGAAGAATTAAGGAAAATTAAGAATTTTAATTATGTTTTAATATTTAATGGTTAAATATCAAGACATACGTGAAAAATATATTATATGATAATATTTTTGTACTTGTGAGTTATCTAACATTTCAGGTGCAAAAGAGGAAGGGGATGGTCATGGTGCCCAGAATTTGAAATTTTTAAATTTTAAATTAATTTGTAATTTTGGGCTCTTTTACAAGAGATGTAATTTAAATTTCAAATTTTTGTAATTTAAATTTTGTCCCTCCAAGATGTTTTGGAGTTTCTTTAATTGTAATTAGAGAAATTAGGCTAGTGGCATATAGACGACAAGAAGCCGAGGCTTGAGAAGCAAGATGGACAAAAGAGCGAGCACCATGACTATCTTTAAAATAAAACTGTTTTATTTGCATGTATGTTATTATACGACTAGTATGCATGAGATAGATTATCGCGATATGTATGCTTTATGGCTTATGACTTCTAGTATGCATGAGTTGGACTAAATCGCGTTTGTATGATTATTATGCAAGTCCAATTGTGACTAGTTTAAACCGTTAGATGTATGACATAGGTTACGACTAGCATGATAATATATTAATGCGTTTAATGAGACTTAATAAACCCTTAATAAAATGAACCCTTAAAAGGAATAAAATTATTAAGCGCATGATTACCTCCCACCACCAATATTACTCAAACCTCCTCTAAATAATGGTGCCCTACAACCCAGTTGGGACCCACTGTTTCATTGAGTAAGAGTAGTATTAGAAGTGTAAGACACTTGGGATGCTGGTTAGTGCTTAACTGAGACATAAGCTGCAGGCCCAGCCGGGCTTATGTGCTTAGGGTAATAGTGCTAGGTTGGTTGCATGAGATGCACCACTAAGTGACAAGGAGTTGTCAACCTAATGTTAAGAAAGGGTATGAGATACCATTGATAAAGATCAATCCATTATTTAAATTAATCTTGCGGTCTCAGACGGGGGTTAAAATAAATAATCGCATTCTTAATCCCACTAAGGTAAATTCTAAAAGTAGAATAACCCTAAGTCAAAAGGAAGGGTCATTGACTTAGATAAAATAGTGGGAGGGGCAAATTAATAAAAGTCTTTAATAATTTGTTTTTACTACATGTCCAAATATTAATTAATTTTCATCTTTACATTTTCAGTTAATTAGTATGACTAATACACTGTCACTGCGCTCCATACTTGATACGAACAAACTGACCGGTCCAAATTTTATGGACTGGTATCGGAAACTAAGAATTGTTCTAAGGGCTGAAAAGATTGCTTACGTCCTAGATGCTGCATTACCCGTAGCTCCTAAGGAAGGGGAAGATGGGTTCGCGGAATATGATTTCGAGGCCCACAAACAGCACATGGATGACAATGTGTTGGCTGTCTGCATCATGTTGGCATCCATGTCGCCTGAACTGCAAAAGCAGCATGAGCATATGGATGCTCCTTTTATTGTCTTACATCTAAAAGAGTTGTATGACATTAAAGGCAGGCATTAGAGGTATGAGGCCTCAAGAGAATTGTTCTCTTGCAGGATGTCTGAGAGCATGTCTGTTGGCAGTCATGTTCTTAAGATGATCGGTCTGATTGAGAAGCTAGGAAATCTAGGCTTCGTCATGGATGCCGAACTAAGTAATGACTTAGTCCTCACCTCACTTCCACCTTCTTTTAGTCAATTCATCATGAATTATCACATGCATGGGATGCAAGTGAGCTTGCCTGAGTTGTTAAGTATGTTAACAACTACTGAAGTGTCTATCAAGAAGGATAAGACACAATCTCTTCTGATTGGTGGGCCTAGCAAGGCCAAGGGAAAGGGTAAGGAGCCTGCTAAAGGTGACTCCCTTAAACCCAAAGGAAAACCCAAGAAGAAGAAGGGCAAAGGAAAGGGTAAGAAGGCTTCGAATGACAAGAGCAAAGTTGAGTGCTTCCACTGTGGCAAGAAAGGCCATTGGAAGAGGAACTGTCCAGACTACCTGAAGAGTGTGAAGGACAAGAAGCATGGTGATGCTTCTAACTCAGGTATTTTCATGATTGAGATAAATTATTCATATGCTAATCCTACTTCATGGGTATTGGATACCGGTTGTGGTTCTCACATCTGCAATATGTTGCAGGTACTTAGGAGCCCCAGGAGATTGGAGAGGAACGAGGTGGACCTCCGCGTTGGTAATGGAGCAAGAGTTACTGCTCATTCTATAGGAGATGCCGACCTCATTATTCCTACGGGCCTTTTATTGGATTTGAATAATTGTCTTTATGTTCCGAACATTTCTAGAAACATTATTTCTATTTCTTGTTTAGAACAAGATGGTTTTACTTTTAGTATTAAGAATGGTACATTTTCTATCATTTTGAATGATATTGTTTATGGTACTGCTTCATTAATAAATGGATTGTATGTTCTGGAAATGGGAACTGAAGTGCTCAATGTAGCTGTGAAACTACCTAGGATAGATAATCAATCTTATCTTTGGCATTGTAGACTAGGGCATATAAACGAAACAAGATTGTCTAGGATGCATGCATATGGATACCTAGATTCCATGGATTTGGAATCCTATGGACAATGTGAATCTTGTCTAGCTGGGAAAATGACTTGTCACAAGCCCAAGGGGCTTAAGAGTCATAGGGCTCGTGAGTTATTAGAACTCATTCACACTGATGTTTGTCGGCCAATGTCTACAGAGGCTAGAGGAGGATACTCCTATTTCATTACCTTTACTGATGACAAATCAAGATTTGGGTACGTGTACCTAATGAGATAAAAATCCGAAGCCTTTGAAAAGTTCAAGGAGTTTAGGAATGAAGTAGAGAAACAGCGTGGCAAGATGATTAAGACATTACGATCAGATCGTGGTGGTGAATATCTGAGCCATGAGTTTCAGGATTATCTGAGAGAAAATGGAATTCTCTCGCAGTTTACTGCACCTCACACACCACACCAAAATGGTGTCTCCGAAAGGAGAAACAGGACCTTGTTAGACATGGTCAGGTCTATGATGAGTGAGACTCAACTTCCAAAATCGTTTTGGGGATATGCCCTAGACACAGCGGCATACCTTCTAAATAGGGTACCGTCTAAATCTGTTCAGACCACACCATATGAGATATGAAATGGTAAGAGACCCAATCTGAGTTACCTCAGGGTATGGGGATCGCCAGCTTATGTCAAAGCGTTGGCATCAGACAAGCTTAGTGCTAAGAGTACTAAATGTCTATTTGTGGGGTATCCCAAAGGTACTAAGGGATACTACTTTTACTCCATGGATGAACACAAAGTGTTTGTGTCTAAAAATGTTGAGTTCCTTAATGGGCTTGGATAGTCCAAGACATTACTAATTAATTTAATTAGTTAAATTAATTATCAAATGTTTAAATTTTGAATTTTGAATTTGAAATTTGAAATTTGAATTTTGAAATTTGAATTTTGAATTTGAATTTTGAAATTCGAATTTTGAATTTTGAATTTTGAAATTTGAATTTTGAATTTTGAAATTTGAATTTTGAATTTGAATTTTGAATTTTGAAATTTGAATTTTGAGTTTTAAATTTGAATTTAGAATTTGAATTTGAATTTAAAATTTAAGTGTTTGAAAGGTTTGAATTCAAATGTTTGAAATTTGAATTGGCTATGAAAAGTTGTTTCATAACAAAAGGCTAGGATGAGATCTTGTTGGAACATATCAAGAGGAAATCTTTTGGACATAATCTAAGAAGATTTGGGGTGCTGATTTGGCTGTTGGTTAGTCATCAGAATCAGCTCCAGAAGATACGATCTGTTGGGAGAATATTTGAGTGATTTGATTCAAGTTTGAATACAACTACTCAAATGTATCTGGTCATTATTTAGGCTATATGGGGCGCACCATATAACTGATTATATGATGATTTATGATCAGATATTTGATTAGGTTTTGAACCTAATATATCATAAAGATATGATAGGATGTGGTTGGCAAGATTTGATGAGATTTGATTTGCAACAAATCCTATTCTCTCTCTCTTTGATGGAGCGCCCTTTTGGAAGGGATTTTATTGATTAAGAATCTGATTTGTTTTCAAAAATAGGCCCCTCTTGTGCGCCTCTTTATTTATGTTCCTTCTAGGGTTTTTAGAAAACCAACCAAGCCATTCTTCTCTCCTCTCCTGCGCCACTTTTGTGAAGTTTTCACATTGAAAGCTTCACTCTTTCAAACACTTTTACCTAGCCTTTCTCTTCACACAGTGTGCGCTTAGCAAGCCTCATTGTAGTGATCACTTGGCGGTTTCACAAGAAGGAGTTCTTGCACCTAGACGCAGTGGGTCGTGTGGATCAACGTTAGAGGGTCTGAACCCTTCAGACCTACCTTGATCATCACGAGTTTTCACGAACAAGGTAACATCATGCTTTCCTAAAGCATGATCTTGAATGCATGTGTGTTCCGCAATGAAAAAATTTTGTTTTTCCCTCCAGCATGCATCGGCCTTCAAGGCCATTTCCAACTTTCATTTCCCTCCATATTAGATCCTAATTAGCCATTCTAACCAAAATTGGACAGTGATCATAAAATAGCCTAGGGAGGACTACAATGTCAGCATTCTCCAAAGAGGCTCTACACTCCTCATTACCAACAGCTCTATCTAGCCTTTTATACACTCTGTCTAGGTGGAGAAACTTTGGCCCTTTCCAAGTGAACCTATTACCTCCACCTCCCAAATCCATCACTCTACAAGCATTAAGAACATCCACAAATCTATTGCATCTGTTCATATCCACTGGTCCTCCTCCTCTTTTTTCTGATGCCATAGCAATCTCATTAAAGTCACCAGTAATCAGCCAAGGATTATTCATAACTCTACCAATGTGCTTCAACTCCTCCCACAGAACAATCCGAGTGTCCTCCTGAGGACTAGCATAGACATTTGTCCAATAAAAACCCCTCACATCTGGAAACTCAACCCAGCAATGCATAAATTGCTCATGTCTAGTAATGAGATTAACTTTCACATCACTATTATTCCACAAGATCCAGATGCCTCCAGTAAACCCATGAGCATCTGCAATCAAATGATTAGAAAATCCTAATCTACGAATTATATTAATGGCTTTCCTACCACTAACCCGAGGCTCTAGAATAGCAGCCAACCCAACATCATTTTTTCTACAGAACCTACTAAAAGTGCTCTTAAAGTGTTTTTTGGCAGCTCCTCTACAGTTCCATGTAATTATATTCATCATGAACTATGTATGGGATGCAAGATTTCTAAGCTCTTGCTACTTGTTTCATTATTTACAAAACTCGAATCCCTGAGAATAGATAACTCTTCCTCACTAATTACCTCACAATCAACATGCATAGGATTGTTAATTGGGTTACCCACAGAAACAGCAAGAGCCATACCTGCCTGGATGTCATCAAGTATAGGAATCTCCCTCATGTCCAGGTCCAGAGATTCTAGAAAATCCCCTAACTCCTTCATGCCTTCATCAATAGCTGAAGTAATCTGATTAGAAACTCCAGTATTGACTACATCAGTGGTGTTTTCCACTATCATCATCAAGTCCCCCCATCGACTGCCCTTCTGCTGCTCCTGTATGAAAGTTCGAATTGGCCTTGAAGGCCGTAGCATGTGAGAGGGAAAAACAAAAAAAATTCCGCAAGCGGAATACACATGCATGTCAAGATACATACTTTAAGACGTATGTCATACCTTGTTCGTGAAAACTCAAGATGATCAAGGTAGGTCTGAAGGGTTCAGACCCTCTAACGTTGATCCACACCACCCGCGTCTACATACAGGAACTCCTTCCAGTAAAGCCGCCGATTGATCACCACAATAAGGCTTGCTATGCGCTCAATGTGTGATGAAAGGAGACTATGTAAAAGTGTTTAGAAGAGTGAAGTTTTCAGAGAGAAAACCTCACAAAAGTGGCGCAGGAATAAGAAGAGAATGGCTTAGGCTTTTACAAAACCCTAGGAGGAACTTATATGCTATTAGGCGCACAAGAAGTGATCAAGAGAGTCATAATGCAATCAGATTTTTAATCCTCAAAATCCCTTCAAAAGGGCGCACCAACAAGGAGAAATAAGAGGATTTGTTGCAAATCAAATCTTATCAAATCTTGCCAACAACATCCTATCATATCTTTATGATATTAGGTTCAAAGCCTGATCAAATATCTGATCATAAATCATCATATAATCAGCTATATGGTGCGCCCCATATAGCCTAAATAATGACCAGATACATTTGAGTAGTTGCATTCAAACTTGAATCAAATCACTCAAATATTCTCCCAACAGATCGTATCTTCTGGAGCTGATTCTGATGACTAACCAACAGCCAAATCAGCGCCCCAAATCTTCTTAGATTATGTCCAAAAGATTTCCTCTTGATATGTTCCAACAAGATCTCATCTTATCCTTTTGTTATGAAACAACTTTTCATAGCCAATTCAAATTCGAATTTCAAACATTTGAATTCAAACTTTCAAACACTTAAATTTTAAATTCAAATTCAAAATTCAAATTCAAAATTCAAAATTCAAATTTCAAAATCCAAAATTCAAATTTCAAAATTCAAATTTCAAAATTCAAATTTCAAATTTCATATTCAAAATTCAAAATTCAAATTCAAGATTCAAAATTAAAATTTCAAATTTCAAATTCAAAATTCAAAATTTAAACATTTGATAATTAATTTAACTAATTAAATTAATTAGTAATGTCTTGGACTATCCAAGCCCATTACTTAGTTCCATGTGCCCTCCACTTTATTTGTGGAGTTCCAAACTACTTCTTAGGCTAATAACAATTGTTAGGCCCAATACCTTTAATGCTAGAGCATCTAGACAATTAGGTGTTAGTGTGTGATCCATTAGGTTCAACATAGCCACTGACATAAATGGGCTTGGGCCCAATAAGCCCACAACCCATCTAATGACAACACAGAGCACTAGCAATGCTTTGTTGCCCTGGAACTAGTTAGATTAATGACTTGATCATCCTATTACACATATATGGTTGTCGTATATATTTCCTTTCGTCTTGGTTACCTTCCCATAAAACCTAGGGTAAGGAAGCGTATCAACCCCTGCGGTTTAGGGTAAGCTTTATTCGAAATAGGGAATCTTCAATTTACAGACTCTAAAGGCAGATCATCTCATGATCTCTTTTACTATGCATAGATTCCCGAGCCCCTGTAAATGTCATCCTGATTTCTCCGGTTTACAGATAACCTAATCTCTCACAGAGATTTGAGGAATTCCTTCAGCTTATCACCCTAGCCCTGTGTTCTTTCAGGACAAGCCCAACAGTATACCTATGAGTGTCCATGTTTTAGGCAGACGAGGTGTACAATCAAAGCATGCCTTCTAGAACACAGTCTATGTAATAACTTCTGGTCTTAGGAAAGACATACCCAAATATAAAGAGACTACTCTAATGATACTCTCTGTGAGAGTTCCTCATAGAGTCTCTTTGTGGGTCTGTTCAGTGCGAGCTATACCCTTATAGGTCCACCCACGACTTTAGCTAAGACATCTCCATATATGTAGCACATGAGGTCTATACCTTGTATCCATATACAAGTAGATAAGTCGTGCTAGTCTTACCCGAGATTACTGACCCCATTCTCAGTATCTCTAGACTAGGAACATAAAATTAGGAATAAACATCTGGTATTCTTGAATCCTCATGATTGTGATCTCATCACAGATACTCAAGAGATACCTATTTTATTCCACGGGGTTTATCAAATTATTCATAATATATTAACATTAATATCGAGACAGAGTTATGAAACAAGATAAATAGTGCTTTCATTTATTTGTGACAATATTAAAAGGGTCTACATCTATGTCCTTATTTAATCATAAGATTGTCTCTAGGACACCCAAATACTAACACTGTATAATCTGGTTCCCATTGCCACTTTCTTTATGAACTTTAGAGCTGCTGTCATAAACAACCTTAGGGTGAGTTGCTTTAACTGCACCTTTACTCTTAGTATTCTAACCCTTCAAGGTTTTCTTATTAACTGACATAGGATTTTTACTCCCTGGGTTTCTTCTACCTTACTCACTAACTACTACTGCAAAATTCATCCCTGTAGCATGGGACTGAACTGAATTAAGAGACTCCTCATTCTCCTTGCTCTCATTAGTCATTGAAGGGGCTGATCCTGGAATAATTCCAGAAATGACTTCCTGTTGACTCTTCTCTACTTTGGGAATACTACCAGCACCCTTCACATTTTTCTTATTCGAGATATCTTCACCAAAACTCCTGTCATTGATTGATTCCTTCTTCTGAGCTTGTTGTTGATTCTTTTTCCTATGCTGGACCACCATCCATGGCCCAACCCCAAGATTGCAAGGGACTTCCACAGGTTGCTCAGGAGCCGCATTGGGTTTGACCGGATTTGTGGTCTTCACGTAGTCAGGACAAGCCTCTGAATTGTGTCCATACTTGCCACACTTGAGGCAAATCAAGAACAAGCCCTCGTATTCCACCCTCTTCCTACGCCCATCAAGAATATAAGAGCCCCTCAAAGGTTTAGCTAGATCAATCTCAATACAAACCCTAGCAAACCGAGCCCTGTCCCCAGTGGAGGTGGTTCTATCGATTTTGAGTACTTTTCCAATCACATTCCCCAACTGATTAAGGAAGGGAAACTCACAATATTCTTGGGGTATGCCTGGAAGACGGACCCAGGCTGCCACCTTGTGGATGTTGGCCTTGTCCGGATCAAAACATGGCTCCCACTTGAGAATTGCTAAATAGTGGCCGAGAATTACCCAGGGTCCTCCCGTAATGGCCAGATTGAGGTCTTCTAAGCAATTGAATCTCAGTGAAAAGAATTCGTTCCCCAAATCAGCGACAGTGATGCTCCCTGCCTTGGCCCACATCAATTCCAGCATCTTCTTCATGAAGCCCACTCCAATCCTTTTGCCTAGCAGTTTGACAATCAGCGCGTTCTTCCAACGTTGTCTCATCATTTCTATGGCTTCACTGTTACTCCTTATCTCTACGGATCCATCCTCCCTAATGATCGTTTGAAAACCCCACTCTGAAATAACACCCAATTTAGGGTCCAGAGGTTCCAGATCGGGGTCATCTTCCTCAACAAGCCATGGAAGTGAATCTCCAGCTACACCATTCTCCGCCCCCGTAACCTCAGCAAACGACCTTAGATTTGTTTTGATCGAAGCTCCAGATTGATACTCCTTTACGGCCTCCTGCATGCGTATCTCAGTGGGGATTTCCTCCCCATTCTTAGTTCTCTTGGTGCTCTTCCGCGCCATAGCCAGCGCCTCTCCATTGTTGTTGTTCGAATCCTCCATCGAAAACCCAGAAGAAAAAACGAAGTCAAGACCCTAGCAGAAGTACGCGCCTAACCCATTTCTTGTAAGATTTCTATATATTCCTCACTAGTTACTCGTCTGACGATAGGTTTTTCTTTTCTTTTCACTTTTTTTAATTTTTTTTTAGTTCTTTTACTTCGGTTTTGGTACTATTAAGTCCGTACAAAGAATCTATAGAGGAATATTAATCTTCAGTTTTGGTACTATTACGTCTCTCAGTGAAATGACACAAATTATATAATTTAAAATTACAAACACTTTTGGCTTATCTAAAACATAGTTTATTATCGTTTTACAAACTCGTCACTCTTCCTTATTCCAAAACATTCAGTACAACATACATTGCGATAACTGTTTATAAGACATTTGAAGAATAGAACCCCTTATTCTTATACTGACACTGGATTCGAAAGGATCGCTGCAATTTCGTTCTTTGTTGATTTTTCAGAGTGAGTGTAGCCATCTCCGTCTTTGTAAAGCACTTCAATTACACGTGACAGGTTGAGAACTATAATCAGAAGAGGTTTTGGCATTTCGGTAGGGTCAAGCAATTCCTCGTTGATATCCTTCCAAGCACTCGTCACTCGTCTATATAATTCATCAATGGCATCTTGTTTTGTGACACGGTGTTGCTTCATGTAGCACTCAAGAGCAGAGGCAACATGCCCTCTCTTCTGCTCAAACTAAAACAAAATGAAGGGAAGAAACTATTAAATATGTATTTTAGAATATGAAGGAAATTAAATCTCGGGATTAATTACCTCGTTGGAAACAATATCATCCATGAGTCTGCCAATAATTTTTGAAGAATTAACAATTTTAGGGTCATTGGTTAACCATTGGAAGGCCTTTTCTGTAGCAATATCTCCCATCCCTATGAAGGCTGTTGCTGTGAGCATATGGTAAGCAGAACTTACTTGTGCAACATCCATATACTCTTCCATTGACGGAGTATAATTGCTACTTAACCATTTAGCCTCAGCAAAGTAGGCTTGGGCCAATCTTTTCATCTGGTATATATGGACACCACAATAATTTACAAGATTAAATATAAGTTATTACAACTTCGAAAAAGGCAAATAGAATCAGAATTATACTTGATTTTTTGCATAGATTACACAGAATGCTCTTCCTTCCTTGGCCATCTCTTGTTCAATTTCTTTATAAACATCCAAGAGTGCTTGGTAGTAAAATTTCATGTACTCTGGCACAAAATCCCTGCAGCTGATATCCCACCTAAAATGTCCATTAATTATGGAAAGGCCATCAAAATGTTAACAGGTTTCAACCTAGAAAATAATTCAGTTAGGAAATAAAAGTGATCATTTCGTAGTTAATTTAAAACCCCAAACCTTTCTATTGCTTCAGTGAAAATATATAGCTCTTCCAATGTACCATAGACATCATATATATCATCCATTATTGATGCCATAGATATCACCTTTGTCATTAGCCTTCTACCGAGAGAGTATTGGGGCTCAAAAAACACTCCCAATATCCAAAAGTAAGCTTCCACAATCCTATTGCGTGCAAAAGGCAGTTTTGTTGCAAAATCCAAATCTTTCCACCACCTAATTCATTGAAGATGACCAATTACCATAACCAAGAAATGAGTGACTTGCATGTTGAAAAAATTAATGTTTTCTAACTATTTTTTTTTTTTTGGTGACATGTTTTCTAACTATTTATTATCGTGATGTCGTTGAAAAACTTACATTGAAATACTGCCAAGTTCCTTCTGGTGTGATTTTTGCAGCATATTAAAATCTAATTTGGCAAATAGTAACAAAGTTTCATCATGTGAAGGGTCTTCCTCATAAGTAGAAATGTAATGCCTTGCCACTAGCCTTGGCAGGTTCTTGCGGAGTGGTCGTTTTAAGGCATGATTGACTTTCGAAGCAAGAGAAGGACTCAATTGTGTGGTCATGAACTGAAGATGTGAGGTAGTGAAAGCAAGCGCTTCATCCAATATGTCTTCTCCATGAATCCTGACATGTGCAGCTTCGTACAAACTTAACATTCCCTCAACATCAGCAGTAATTGTTTCCTTGAAGTTTCCTTCCTCATTCTTGAACTTCTTAAAAACATCTGGAATTTAATCTCCAACCGTAAGATCCATAGTTGTTTTTGTATTTATAAGATACATAATTTTTTTTTTTTTTTTTTGCAATGTTAATCCATTTTCTCATCATTTTCTTTTGAGTTCTGGTGTTTGTTTAATCATGTATTATATATTTTTCCAAAATCTTTTACAAGTAAAATGTAATAAAAGTAGATGAGGTGGGGCCTACCGGGTGAAATGTTATATCCTTGTTGCCTCAGTAACCTAAAGACAAGGGCAAGAGAACAGAGGTCTTCATTGAGAGTTACTATATCATTTTCAACATAACTATTGTGAATACGCTGCAACACTTCACCAATCTCATGTTCAAAATGATAGTGTAATCCCAAACGTTGGATTGAATCAATCAAGGTAGCTTCCGTCAAGGGCCTTAAGGCCTTCTCATTACCAGGGATTAGCTTCTGTCTTACTTTTTCTTTTAGTATTATAATTTGCTTCTCCATTATTTCATCCACTTCCTGCACGTTAATTAAACTTTTGTTATGTTATTAATGAGACTAAATTTCCATAAAATAATGGAGAGAATTAATAAAAATTGATCTACAAAGTCAAAGTTCTTCAACAGACACTTGATGTACATATACAAAATATGTGAGACTCAAAATATGATTATGGCCGTTAGTCACGAGTATGATAGAATTATGTACATGCATATTGCATATGTAAAGCTTTGTAAGAATAAAATCATATTACCGTAGGTTCCAAACCATATTGAATAAAATGATCTCCCCAAACATTGGGATGATAATTTGCCGAAGGTCGAGAGAAATCGGAGGAAGCATTAGAGGTTGGAGCAACTAGTGTTGAAGTTGCTGAAACTGACATAAGTTTCTTTCCGAGGTTATGATGGATCACCTTAATTTATTTCCAATTATAATGGGTACACTAGATGGCTCACAAACTAATATTTTCTCTCTAAGGCTTTCAGTGGGGAAGAACTTAATGTTTGCCGTTATTTATAGAATTTTCTCCAAGCAAATGTGAATTTCAACATAATAAATTCACCCGCTGTTTCAACTATTGGACCACACCTATTTTTATCACATTTTTCACTTCCTCTTCGTAATTGGCAGTATTCACAGTTCGTGTGAACTCCACGTTTGCACCTATTTCCTCCATTAACCTCTTTTCAGTTGTATGCCTGCTCTGCTTCTATTGGCCAACCAATGATAGGTTCCTTGTGGATGAAGCTCTTCAACAAATTAAAGAGTTCCACGCACAATCGCTTATTAGAAACGAGACCATAAAGTGGCCCCATTGTTTTTATTTTTTTCAAAAAAAGCCAGAATACGTATCCTAGGATTTGCATGTATATATCCTGGCCTACTGCATCTCTATGTGCACCAGGTGTAGAAATAATTTTGCCATATGGAAACAAAATCTCAACAATTACTTTAAATAAGGTTATTTATAACTATCCTTTTATAGTTATAACATTAAAATTATTTTTTTCTTTCTTTCTATATCAGCAGAGAGACAAGGGAGAGAACATTAAAAATTATTTTTTTTTTCTCTTTTCTTAGTCATTTTTCAGAACATGTCTGCTGACCTGGAGAAAGAAAAAAATAAACAACTTTAATATTATAACTATGCACTACCGACAGTATATAGTTATAAAATAATAGCTATAAATAAACTTATCTAAGTCGCTATATATAGTGTGTGTGAAAACATTCTGAAGATGAATCTGTTGGATATATGCTCTTTTGGTCACTAAAGTCCTATTGGGCTTCAGTGAAACTTGAGCCCATGAGGCTTAGGGTTGAGTTATGTCTAAGACCTAAGCGTATATATTCATGGTTTTCTCCTCTTGTGCCTCCAAGGTGAATAGATCATCAGAAACAAACCCCAAGAGGCAGACGTTCATCATCTGAACGGTTGCCCACACAACCATCTCATCCTCCTCGAGAGATAGTCTGGAAGATCTGCCACAGTCTAGCTTCAAGGAGGTTGTTCGTGCTGCGGCGCTAAGGTGAGCTGTTCGTGAAGAGGAATCCTACAAGGGAAGATTCTACACGACACCTGCGCACCGAGAGGTAATTGTGAAACAAGGATGATTCGGTAAGCATACCAATGTACTAGGTCCTAAATCGCTTCCGCATAAATCTAAGATTTCCTTCAATTGGTATCAGAGCCTTGACTGTACATTGGTATGTGAATCTAGTTTCACTATTCATGTAATTAGTTTTGCTTCTTGAAATGTGGCACCTAGGGTTCTAGGATTATGGTATGAATCTAGCATGTGTATTTTATAATTCATTTTCATAAAAGTTTAAATTTTAATCGGTAAAAATGCTTTAATCCATGGTTAGGATCTCTCGTGTATTTCTCGATTTGTAACAAGGAGGCTAATCCCATATGATTAGGTTTCCTCCTTGCTGTTTTTGTTTATTTTTGGAATTTCTGTGTATTTTTCCAATATTTTGTAAAAGTTCAAGATCGAGAAACCGCGAGTAAGATGCGCAGTCAGTACTGTCGGAGACTTTTCGAGGACTTCCCGATCTCAGAATGGCTCGATCTATATATGGTTGGAAAGAGGACGGAAAGACGAACGCAAAGGTGGTGGATCACCTCCATCGGAGACTCCACGCTCTACCACGCGCCTCCACAAGAGGCTGAGAGTGGCTGCCACTCTCCGGCAAAGAATGGGAGAGTGAGAGAGCGTCCGGCCACCTTTTTGGGTGGTTCCGGCGGCGGTGCACTCGTCTCTACGTGGCGGTCCTTCCCCTGGAGTTTCAGCCTGATTTGACTTCGGGTGACGGTGCGGCAGACCTGACGGCTAGGGTTCCTCTTTCGCGTCCTAGGGTTTCTCGCCAAAGGATTGGGTCTTTGGGCTTTTGGGCCCATGAAACCCTAA